ATTTCTCCAGGACGTGCTCAGTTCTGGTGCCCCAAACAGACCTGTCTGCCCCTGCACTGACTCTGCATCCTGGTAGGCTGTTGCTGAGGCAAGGAACATGCAAGAAGTCTACTGTTCTCTGCAGACTGGGTTGTAAATTGTGGTGATGGGGGTGTGAGGAGGTTTGGGGGGGGAAACTCTCCTGCCATCCGAACTGATTTTGAAGCTAACAAAAAATTGTGCAAAGACTACAACAGATACCCATCCAAACTTCACTCTCTGCCCAGCTCCGAGATATCTTCCCCGTGCCAGTCTGTTTTATCATCTCATGCAGATGCCTGTTCTCCTTCCCAGAATTCTTGTGGCTTCTGAAAAGGGTCTACTGAATACGGTCTAATGAACAGTGTTTGGTAGTTGTTCAAACTTTTTGACCCATGACTAATTGCACTTTGTTCTCTACAGTTCAGAGAAGATGGTAAAATTCTTAATCTTCCAAAAAACCTTCAGGGAACACTTAATTCTTCAACATGGCTCAGGTGTTTAATTTTTCTATGTCTCATCTTACTTCTTAAAGAGTTCCTGGCTGTCACTGTAGCTAGTGATATTTTAAAGGTTATGCATGACATACTCTGTACAGCTCCATTCACTTTGATAAAGCTCTGCTACTTCTCATCCACTGAAGTTCTTGCCCATGGCTAAGATTTTACATATGTATTTTATGAGTAAATTAAAACAAATCTAGGTTGGCTTTATCTTCAGTTGATGGCCTATGATGCTTTATAAATACTTGTCAATAATGAAAAGACTCAATTAGTGGACTTTTGTATTCCAGTATGGTTCAAACTCCATTCATAGACAGAATTTCAAGAAGAGAAAAATATCTGAACCAAAAAAATGAACTCCAACCAGTCCTGACATCTGAAACGGATTTCCAGCCCCTTCCCCCATGCTTCCCTTGGGCTGTCTGAGAAATAACAGATACAAATGGGTTACTTTTGAAAGCACAGCATTTCCTCCACAGCTGATGCAGTATGAAAATCCATCTGAAGCCCAGCAGACATACCCATGAGCAAGTCGCCTCTGAGCTCTGCCAAGAATTATACATTTCACCATACTCTACTGTGAAGAGAAAACCAGACAACCACCTACTGGCTGCATCACAGAGCAGAGAAGCCCTCATTTCTCCAGACTGCGGAATACCAATTAAACACATCTCAAGCCATCTATTCCTAGTAGGAGCTTAATGCAGTGCAGAGTTAGCTTGCTTCTTCCCCTAGAAGCATGTGCTTTATACTACCACCCCCCCCACCCCTGTCAGGTGGAACAATTGCTCACCTTTTGTTTCTGTGGCTGACAAGTCAGAGCTGAAGTAAAATCAGTCTGTCTAACGAGCTTTTGATGAAATTCAAGGCTGAAGCACTGCAGTTCTTGATTTATTTAGCATTCAAAAATCCCCTGCTTCTTCAGTTCTGCACCTCAGCCTCTGGAGGTTTCAGAGTGCAGCTTTCTCTAGGACAGCTCAAAGTTAAGAAAAGCCCTTGTGCCAGGTTCAGATATGCCTCTGCTAAAACAATAGTCTGTCTCCAAATGACACTTCTGGGCTGCATATCTGTATTTCTTTAGTGATTTACATGTCATGTTTATGTACTTAACTTGTCTAGATACATGCTGGCTTTTTGTCTGCTTGTTTTTCCTGTGGTTGTTGCTATCAGCAATTCCAGTCCAGGTTATAAAGCAGCTTCTTGTTTTTTTCATGTATCAACACTAAAAGCAGATAGCCAAGAACAGCTCATTTCAGCCAGGGCAATATTTGCTACCAGACGTTAAAGAAGCAGACACAAGGAAATGAAATTAGCTTTCATGTGTTCCTCTCGCAGACCCTATAAAATCCAACTGCAGAAACCAGAGAAGAATTATCCTAAAACCTCTTGTCTAGACTGAGCAACTGTGGCATAAATGAGACATAAAGGAAAAACTCAGTGGGTCTCTCTTTGCCCAACCCACAGCTCAGTGGCCACATACCACTGGAACTAAAAAATGCTTTAACTTCAGAGACATTGTGTCCACTCAGGAGATATCCCCTGTGATGCCTGCAGGAGAGAAGTGCCAGCTGTTGTGCCATCCTTCACTGCCGAGCAAACGCTGTGCAATTCTTTAGAACTGCTAAGGAAATGTAGCTGTCTACGCATGGTGTGAACAAAGAAATACAATCTGCTGTGGCTCCCTGGTCTTGTACAGTTGTTACGGTCCAGAGAGAGTACCAGGGAGGAGGAGGACAGACTACCATGGTGCTGGTTTTGGCCCCATGTCCAGCAGCTGGGCCTGTTATCAGGAATGCTAATCCAGAAGCTCAGTCTGCATTTGTGTTCCTGGAGCCCCTGCACTGTGACCATCTGCTACACAATATGTCAAACAGGAGAGGAGTTCCCATACAAAATAATTACACCGACAGCTGTCAAAATACAGGCAGAACCACCTTTGCTGAGGCATTATCTTCCTGATTTTATGAGTAACTGGCTACTGTCCAAATCCTGGAAAGCACTGAATGTGTTAATTTACCGTGAAAACAGGATCAACGCCTAAGAGATACCTTACTGTTTAAAAGACAAGCCTGTTCTTCTCTAGAAGACCTGCAGCAGGCACAGGGCTGCAATGTTAACTGTTATCCAATTTATTATTTTTTTTGAGACAGCATTAGGCAAACCTCACTGCTCTCTAAGTTCCACTATGAATTCCCAAACTCATGCAATATAGGAAACACTGTGCAACCTAGCTTCTGGAATGTCTCGTTTTCAGGACAGCTGAACGGGGAGCGTGTTATTCACCCTGATGTCCTGTCCCTAGAGGAGCCTGAGAAGTGAACTTTTCATACAGCACTCACATTGCCACTGCTCTCACTCAGCAATCCTAGGGAAGTAAAAGGGAGCTGAGGGCTCTGGGTGTTTTTGTCATAGGGTTCTGTCCAGAATCAATATGAAATACACAGGTATTCCTTACAAAAAATACATCAACACATCCACAAGACTAAGTTGCCCATATTTTTAGCATAAATGTTGGTAAGCTGTTGCTAAGTCTTTTTCCTCATTCAGCCTCTTTGTTTCTAAATAAAACAGGATTTCTTTCAGGTTATATATTTGGGTTTAGAAATCTTTAAATATTAATAGAATGCATTTCTTCATCCTGTAAGCCAGAGTAACAGTCCTTCCAAACAGAAAGACAAATTGCTTGGGCATGATTTTGGCTTTTAATGCCATCTGTGTTAGCACTTCTGCATTGCCCAAAAACGAGGGAAGACTATTCCAGCTCTGGCTATAGCTCTGCTTGGCAGGGCATCAATCACAGACTCTTCAGAAGAAGGTATAAGCATCATACCTCAGGAAGATTTATGGTGCTCCCTCTCTAATCATCCCTCAGTCTCCAAAAGCTTCTGGTTAGTTAAAAGCCTGTATCTTTACTACCCTTTCCAAAGTTTGGCAAGTTCTGTCTGTAGTAACAGGATTTCAGCAAGGCCAGGTTCAAGGTCCTGCTCCAGGGTCGGGATAATCCCAAGCACAAATACAGGTTGGGCAGAGAATGGATTGAGTCCCTGCCAACAAGGACTTGGGGATGCTGGTGGATGAGAGATGGACATGCCCTGGCTGTGTGCATGCACAGCCCAGAAACCAGCTGTGTCATGGGCTGCATCAAAAGAAGAGTGACCTACAGGTCGAGAGAGGAAACTCCACCCCTCTACTCTGCTCTTGTGAGACCCCACCTACAGTGCTGCATTCACTTCTCTTCCCAGCACAGGAAGGACATGGACCTGTTGAAATGAGTACAGAGGAGAGCCATGAAGATGCTCCAAGAGCTGAAGCACCTCTGCTACAAAGACAGGCTGAGAGATCTGGAGTTGTTCAGCCTGGAGAACAACCTGGAGAAAAGAAGGCTCCAGGGAGGCCTTAGAGCCCCTTCCACTGCCTTAAGGGGCAACAAAAGAGCTGGAGAGGGAGTTTGGACAAGGGTATGGAGTGATAAGACAAGGGGGAATGGCTTCAAAATGACAGAGGGCAGGATTAGATTGGATATTAGGAAGAAATTCTTGATGGTGACAGTGGTGAGGCACTACTGGCACAGGCTACCCAGAGAAGCGGTGTATGCCCAATTCCTCAAGTGTTCAAGGCCACATGGGAGGGAGTTGGAACTAGATGATCTTTAAAGTCACCTCCAACCCAAACCATTCTGAGATCCTTGGATTTTGCCACCACACACATGTTCAGTCTTTAGCTGAAAGCAATCCTCAGGACAATGTGCTTCATTGCACGACTGCAAGGTATGAAATTACCTCTTTTTTTCAGCTTTAATCACATCAAGATGTCACAGAATTCTTGTTCTTTCAGAAGGTGAGAGAAGAAAATCCTGATCTGTCTTATTACACATTCTTATGTGTACAGTTTTCTTGTAAACACCCTCTAGTTTATACAGTTTAAGCCCTATTCCTGCTTATTCAAACCCTGCAGCAAGAAGAACAGTTAAGTCTGCCTCCTTCCACCATCTTTAACTCAGGGTGGATTTACCAGGTTGGAGGCTGCAACCCTCCTTAACTTCAACACAATGCACATGTCATATAAAATGGCACAGTAAAGAGCAATGGTGCTATGTGATCCTGCTCACATCTATCTGGGTTGCTTTTCAACTCACTTAAATTAAACCAAGTCTCTTTTATTTGCTGGTACTGATGAAGACTAAGTAAGCAGCAACTGCAGAGACTCAGGCTGAAATGTATCCATGGCATGGAGTGCAAACTCTTGTTTGAATTTTTTTCAGCTGATCTCAATGAGGCACTGTTAGTTTTCAGGTCACAAAATGCTTTCTGAAGATTGCCCTTGTCCATGCCATTTAACATTACCTAAACAATCAAGGCATATGGACAACAGAAGTAGCTTTGCAAGGTGACTCAAAACAGCTTGTATCCCATACCTATCCCAGAGTTGCACACATAAGATTAACTGCACATGGATGAACACAATGAGTGGAATCCGTACCTGCCCTCCTTTAGGCTGGTATTTGATATTATCCGTTGATCCAATTTTGGACCTGACATTCTTGAGGTCAGGTAGAGGCTGGTTAATAACTCGTAGCTGCTTTGGAGTGGCTGGAGATTTAGGAGGAGTGCGAATTATGGCAACTTTTTTCTCAGTAGGTACCAGTATTGCAGATTTGGGGGTCCCAGGAGTGTGGGGGGTTCTGGAGTAGCTGGGTGTCCCTGGGGTGCCTGGGGTACGGGAGGCATAGCTTGGTGGTGTCCCTGGAGTGATGGCAGTGGAGCCAGGAGTAGTGGGGGTAGAAGTTCCACTTTTTCCTGTTCTGCTACGAATTGGCTCTGATCCTACATGAAAGAAAGAAAAACAGCATTAGGGGCACAGAAATACATCTCTTCTTCCCTTTGTACTCCCAAGATCGTTCCTGTGTGCCAAGCAAGAACAGCAGCCTGTATGTCTGTCTCTGTGCCTTCCTTTGCTAATCAACCTGCCAGGAGTTACCCTGCCTTGAGAGGCTGAGCCATTGCCCACACACAGTGACTTAGCTCTCCATTCTGTAACATAGCTGCTTCCCACAACACCTATGCTTCCTGCAAAGCTTGCTAAATAAGGCACAACATCACACTTACTTCCATTTTGGGGAAAGGATAAGAAGCACCCTTAGAATCTAACCTTTGGGACTTGATCCGATCAACAACCTGACTAGCCAGTGAGAATGCTGTCACCAATTTCAGTGGATTTGGGCATTAAAAGAGAAAGTGGGAAAAATTCTGATGGTATTCCTGGAACTAAAGGCTCTGAGTGCCTGGCTGCTGCTGGTCACACGCCACTGCTGGTAATCTGGTATCTGAACAAAACCAGCCTGTGGGGCTCTGATTTCCAACAGCACACCCTAGACCTACCCCTCAGTGTCAAAGGTAGGCACACATCCTGCTATGGCAATGTGACAAATGTAACAAGGGTGGAGACACCCGCAACAGGAGGAGAAGGTTAATATGCAAAAAAACATACGGGTGGTCCGTCGTATTGAAGAGGAAAGAGAAGCTGTGAGGGAGAGAGAGTTCTCCTCTCTGTCTCGGTCTCCTGATGCACCTCGTCGAGGAGGAAGGATAGAAGAAGGTCTTGGTAGAGATGAACGCTTCTCGGGACTCTTGCTTACTCCATCCTGATAGCAGTAAAATAGAAAAGGGAGGTTTAATTTTCAAAACTCACTCTCTGGGCTGTGATTTCTCTCAGTCTATATACAGAGAGGGAAACCTCATCCTATGGGCTCAGTTTACTCCTCACACAGGAACCTGTGGGGACCCAGTCCCCTTCCATGCTCTGCTTTGCTCCTTGGTGCTTCTTTACTGCATGGAAACACCTGACAGTCCTTTCTGAGCTACCCAAGACACAAATGGATACTCCTGGATCTAAATATGGATGGATTCCACACTGGGCTCTTAAAAAGGTTTGCTTTTAATGCAAATTCAAGTTCAAAGTAAAAGAATTCTCTTAAGCTCAAGTGTGAAATTCCTATGTGAGTTTACCTGCAAAGTAACTGCACTATGTGTGCCCAGAATACACCCCACGGTAGCTTGTTGGGTGTTGTGTGATTTTTTCATTTTTGAACGCTAACACTAACTTGTAATTTTTTTATGGAGAAAAATTTTTAGCTACAGCTTTTTTTTTTTTGGTGCAGCATTATCAATCCTAGTGTTTTATTTCCTTCTGTACTAAAATTATTACTTTTTGAAATCAAAGTAATTTTGAAATTACTTTACCATGGCAAAGCAAACCTCTCTTTACCATTAGAGCAATGGACATGTATATTAGAATATTTTTGAACTTAGGGGATGGGCAGCCAAAGACAGTCTTGCATAAGCAGATATTTCTCCCAAAAACAAATGATGATGATCCCAATCAGTAAAAGACACAGCAAGCACCGTATTACAAAGAAAATGGAAGTCAACAGTGAAAACAATTTTTAAATGGGGATAGTCAATCAGCATAATGTAGATTTCAAATACAAGTGAAATGTAAGCACAGGGAAGGTGGGATGGACTGCCAAACATGTTGTTAAACTTATCCTGCAACTTCTTCAACAAAGTCCTATGCATTGACTAAATTTGATTCCTAGAGCATTTGGATTCTGCCCTTATTGCTGGTGATTAGAACTGTTCCCTCCTACACTGAGGACTGAATTAGATTTCAAAGAATATTACTTGGTTGAAAATTATATTTTTTTTAAACTTGGAAGGCAAATCAGTCCTGCTGTTCTTTACCACTTACTGACGTGAAAACGGGTGTAACTTCTTAGCAGTCAATAAAGCAGCATCCATATCGTCCACAGAAAGAGATATGTCTTTCTAGTTATAACTTTTGTCACTTCTGTTTCCTCTGATGAATCTCCTTCGTTTTTATCCATTTTCTAGCACAGGTCTTGTAGCCTGATAATCAGTTTTCCTGCCACTGGATGTAAGTAATCCCACGTAAGCTTCACAAAGAATTACTCAAATTCAGTGGGTAGAAAATATGATCCATAGAGTTTACCTACAGTCTCCAACCTCTCTCTCCAAACTCTGCTAACCTTACCTTAGCATCTGTTTTTGAGTCTCTTGGGCCTGCTGAGGAGGGCTGAACATAGTAACTGTCTGTATCGAGAACAGTGGCCCTTTTAGTGGTTAATGAGCAAGCTGAGCTGGGTCTTGGAGGAAGCAATGACTTTGCTCTAGACTTTGAGGCAGGAATCTTTGACAAAGAAGCAGTCTAGTCATGAGAAAACAAACAAAAGAAAACACAACATGAAGCTAAACAAAAGGAAAATGCACACAACATGGACCAAAAATAAAAAGCCAAGCCATGAATTAATACTTTTCCTGTGTCTGGTAATGTGTCTATCATCTACCGCCACCACCTGTGCCTCCTAGAACGCTTCCATCAACACTGTCTCCGAACAATCCTAAACATCCACTGGTCAGATTATGTGACCAATACATCTGTTCTAGAACAAGCAGCAGTCACAAGTATTGAGGCCATGTTGCTGAGAACACAGCTGCGCTGGGCAGGGCACGTCTCCAGGATGAAGGACCAACCACCGCCTCCCTAAGATCTTGCTTTATGGTGAACTTGCCACTGGCTGTCGCAAGAGAGGAGCCCCGAAGAAAAGATACAAAGACTGCCTGAAACAACATCTCAGCCTTGGCCATATTGACCATCATAACTGGTCTACTCTGGTCTCCAATTGGGAGACCTGGAGACACACCATCTGTAACGCTACTGATGCTTTTGAGAACGCACACAGGATGACCCTTGAGGAGAAAAGGCAACGCAGAAAGAATCGTGCCTTGCAGAATATATCGTCTAAGGAGTCTTTCTGTTGTGCCTTTTGCAACCGGACATGCCTGTCTTGTATTGGCCTTTTCAGCCACCAACACGCTTGCAACAAACATGGGTAGAGCCCTTCCCAAATCTTCGTTCGCAAAGCCCAGCCATGATGATAATGTGTCTATGCTGATCTGACTTGCATGGAATTTTCAGGTTTGTGTTGTTTGACTGAAACCATCTGGGTCTGAGTTACTGACTTGAGGAAGTACCTTTTTCTCCACATGCTATTTTGGTCTTGTGTTAATAGAACAAAGCTGGTGCCAGGAGTGACATTTAACTGGTACAACTGCTGGTTGGCTGCATTAGAAACAAATGCAAAGCTCCAGGAGCACCAAGAGATCCTAGTCCTTTAAAGTTGTGCATTTGAAATATATCCCTCCAGGTTACAATCAAGAATAGAACAGTGGGAATCTTAAAAGTTGTAACAGTTATATTACCACAACAGCAAGAGGACAAGACAGTATTGCTTCTTGTGCCACTGTGTACAGACAAAATCCCTACTGCACTTCAGATACTGCATTCTGTGCATTTGGTGTCACTCCACAGAAATTCATAAATTTATATTGACAGTGTGGAGTGCTGGGATAAGGAAACCTGTATGTGATTGAAAAGCTGACATGATATGTCATTGTGAACAGATACTTGTTTGTTCCTGAATAACAACGTCCCATTGAAAGAACAATTAAAACCCAACAGGATAGACAGAAAAATCTTTGTTGACAATTAGGAGCACCTAACTGCATTACAAATAGGAATTTCCTTGAAATAGAATAGGACTACTTGCTTAAGCAACACTTTTTTCTCTTCCACAGATACAACTGATACTACAAAGAACAAATGCTAGCGTGTTACCTTGGTAGTCCTGATTCTCTCTGTAGTCATACTAACATGAAATTACACATATGAACAATCCCAGTGAGCAAGTCATTCTGGGACTTGTATGGAATTTGAGCCACAGAAAACTTGGCATTTGATCTAAGTTCATCCCATAGACTTTCTCAACTATCAGAAAAAGTGTATGAGTTGCTCTTTATTAGAAAATGAGAAAAGAATGGGCAGTCCAGCCCTGACAGGCCTCTGGCTTAAGCTGCATACCCAACCTATGTAAAACTGAGACTAGTGTGCTGAATGTCATCCATGACATCACCCACATGATCTATGTGACCCTGACTGAAACTCATGGATTGCTGAAGTGCGGATGCAGAACTCTCACTTTATTTCAGAGGTGTTCCTAACACATGACGGGTGTTCTCATCATCTTGCTGTGAACTGCAGGTACACAGCTCCTTCCAGCAGATGGAACTGCTCAGCCTTCCCTGAACTTGTTCTGCAAAGCAGTGTTTAAACTGCAGTCTGAACATGGACAACAAAACTGACTGGGTTGGATGATCTAACATTACCAGTGGAGAGGAAAAGGCTGCACTTGAAGGACATAAAAGCTGAAAATCCCAAAGAAAAAAGAGCAACAAAAAAAGGGACAGGTCTTCATAAAAGCAGAGACAAAGACAAGGCACAGAAGAGAAAATGTCCAAGAGTTGTGTGCGTGTGACAATCAGAGAGGTGAGGCAGCAGGGAGAGCAGGTAAGCAGGGGACAGACTTCTAATCTTTGCTAGAACACAGAGGGCAGGAAAACAATAATTGCACAGAATGATTTTGCAGTGCTTATACTTAGAGCACTTCACGAGCATTGAAAATTGCTCAAGTATTGACTCTCTTGTGTGTTGATCATCCCCCAAGAAAAGACCGTAATGAAACATACTGTTGACTCAGCCCAGAAACCTGCCCAGGTATTTCTCACTGTACTTGTAAAGAAGCTCTAACAGTTCCCCAGTTATGGGTCTGAAACAGGTCAGATCTGAAAAAACATGGCTCCTCCAAAGCCTCCACTCAGTTATGCTGCTCTCAGCACTAACAGTTTTGTGTAATTCATAAATAGTGTGTAGCACTGCATGTGACAGAGTTTTTTGTTCCCCAAAGAACTGACAATCTGGTTTAACAGATGAAACAAATCAGCCATGGAATATATTAGGAAGTATATTAGGAAATTTAGAGGAATTGTAAGGAACTTCTTAATTGTTAATGATGGCTGACAATGACAAAGTATTGTTGTGTTGCAGATGTGAATTAGCATGTGTCAGTGTCACAGAAAGAATATTTGCATGGGGAGAGAGAATAGAGGTTGGTTTCTGGGGATTTTGGAATGATGGGACAGAAAGAACGTAGGGTTAGCACGGAGTAAGGCAGCACTTGCTGAGGAGCGCCAGACAAAGGGGGCAGAACAGGCCGTAGAGCAGCTGAAAGCAGGGCACCTGACTCAGGCTGGAACACAGGTTGCAGTCAGCAGCCCAGGAAATGGCCACTCTCAAAGCACTAAGTCACTTATAAATTCTACTGGCCACTGACTTCCTCACAGGCCTGGCCTCTGCAGAACTCTTGGCTATGGAATGAAGACACACAGTGAGTCCTGGAGGAGGGTTTCTGCCTTCACAGCAATCGAGCAAGGCTGCAATGCAAGTTTGGCTCTGCAGAAAGGGCCAAGGTGCACAGCTTATCCCACAGGATGACATGGCTCAAAATGCTGATCAGACTCCAGCTCCTGCAGTTTGGAGTCTGTGGGGCCCCCATGGATCTGCAAACTGTCACCAACTACTACCCGGGACTGTGCTTCAGACGTTATTCAGGAAAGGCGGTTTTAATTACCCTTTTCAATGAAGAATGAATATGGCAAACCAATTTTAAATGGAACACACAATTACTTACTGAATTAACACAAAAAAAATGTGAAATAAGGACAAAGGGAGATTATAAAGATGAACAATAAGATGATTTTACTCACTGAGAGTTTTTCCTTTGCTTGTTTAAATACACCAGGAGCCTGGTTTGTTTCACCACCTGCTGCTGAGAAATCCAAAGAAAGACTTGATAGTTAAAAACAATAATAAGAAGCATTTCTATTTAGTACATTTGATAGAACAATTAAATGCCTTGGAACTCGTGTGCAAAGCAAGTACTTTGTGAATTACTCTCACCGAACTGTATGCAGAAATGCACTTAGTAATTTTCTGTATTCATCTTACTTGAGGTAAAATGGTACGTGTTTCAAACAAATTGAAATTTTTTATTCATATTCCTAAAAGTCTAGAAACTAAAAAAGTTCAAGAAACAGCTGACAGCTAAAAGAGTCTCTGGTCTGAAGGCTGATTCTCAGACAACTTAGTATTCTGATTTTCAGGACTGTCGTCTAAAAATTAGGCATCTTTAAGTCACCCACAAACTAAAATTTTAAGAGAGGCCTCTAACATATTAGCCAACATTCCTAATGGAAGGAGAGAGATTCACTGCTGAATTATCATCCTAGTTGTGTCAACACGGTCAACTAAGCCCCTAGACTTCAGAAATCCAATTTATATCTGGGACATCAAGTATGTTGATTCAGTATTTCATTTACCTGATACAACCACGGTTTAAGATTTTTCTTTTTGACTTAGGATTCCATCTCAAGTTTTTGAATGGGGTAGCTTTTTGGAAAGCTTCACCCCAGTGCTGCCAGTCAGGAAGTGATGTACCACACAAAAACTAGATGTGAAATCGTCTGATACCTGTGCCAGGATGCCCTTGGTAAACACAGAAGCAAGGACAGCAGGCACAAATGACAACCTTCTGCTATGAACCCAACTGTTTTCCAACCCTAAAACCAACCCTAATGCCTCATACAGGACAGGTCAGGTTATTTTTTTCCTTTTCCAGTGTGGTTCCCAGGTGTAATGAGATCATCCCTGGTTTTCTGTCACACTTCCCACTCTAGTTCTGCCCTCTTAATATATATATACACTTAAAAAAATGAGAACTAGGAGAGAAAACTTGTGAGGAGGAAAAGAATCTATAACTGTGCACTTCAGTTCTTCTGAATTTGTAACAGGGATAAATACAGCACAGCCCTTCCATGTCACACTTTATCACATCTGTTACTGCTGGTTTGGGTCTGTTTTGCATCTCTTCTCTGATTAAATAATCACAAATAGCTTCTTTCCTCCTCCTCCTAGCTCCTCTGCTTTAGAGCTCAAACCTCATTAGTTTTATGTCCATCATTTTGGTTGCTTTCCACCTCAGGATTTAAAGGTATGGGAAGGTAGTTTTTGTACTGTACTTTTCATTTTGACTAATATATCTGCTTTACTATGTATTGGAGTGAGAGAGAAAAAGCTCTGACTGTTGCCAGGCAGCGCACACTTAAGGCACAGGGCAGATTTCCTTATGCAAGTCCATTTGTATGACTCAGGCCTCTCCAGGATGCTATGGGCCAGAATAATTCAGAGGAGGTAGCAGTAAAGTACTTGGGGGCAAAACAGCATGACCACATGGTTGTAGAGTTCTAGATGAAGTTGAGAACACTAAAAAGCCTACATTATTCTCCCCCCATTTCCACAGCTTATTGAACTCCCGGGGGTTTTTGAAAGAATATGTGAATTATGGGTCGTGACTTCTGAGCTATCAAGCTGTGCTTCAGCAAACAGCAAGAGAAAGCAAGAAGGGTTGTTTTTAATCCTTTTGTACGTTCCTCACTGTTGGGTAGTTCTGGTCTAGAGTGAAAGTTAGGAGATCCCAGAGACTGCAAACTGAGGAGGAGCCATCAGTGCAATTCAGAGGGGTATGGACCAGCCTTTCCTTCCCTCACTCCATTTCTCCTGAGAGGGGCAAGTAAAAGGACCAGAGTCAGTCACAAGAGCAAGGTGTGGTGTCTTAAGGAAGCTGAGTGGAAAAGATGCCCTCCTTGATCTGCTGCTTGCCAACGGAGTGGATCTCGTGAGCGGAGCAGAGATTGGTGGCTGTCCTGGCCACAGCAACCACAAAGCCATTAAGTTCAAAATCTTTGCTAACAGGAGGAAAAGTTCCAGCAAAATCTCAACTCTGGACATGAGGAGAGCAGACTTCAGGCTGCCCAGAGAATTAGTATGATCCCCTGGGATTCATCCAGAATCCTCAAAGAGCTGCTGATATCATTGCACAACCTCTCTCCATGTTTTTTGACTGGTCTTGGGAATCTGGAGAGGTCCCACCCAGAAGCTGGTGAATATTGTCCTGATTTTGAAGAAGGGCAAGAAAAAGAAAAATCTGTCATAAATTAAAATGTGGGAATTCACAGGCAAAAATGCAGAGTTTCAGTGACTCAGAGTTGAGGACTTGAGCCCTGTAGTGGGATCAGAGGGAGGAAGAGGATGTAGAGGAGGATGAGGAGGGGTGTACAGCTCAGATGTGATATGTTTTTTTCTCAGACCTTGCTACAAACAGTGAAAAAAATTCTCGATGGACCCCAGAAACTACAAGCCTGTCAGTCTGACTTCAGTGCCTGGTAAAGTTATGGAGAAGATCATTCTGGGAAATATGGAAAAAACACCTCAAAGACAACACTGTCATCAGTCACAGCCAGCAAGGCTTCATGAGAGGAAAGTCCTGCTTATCAAACCTGATTTCCTTCTCTGACAAGGTAACCCACCTAGCTGATCGCAGGAAGCCAGTTGATGTAATCCTTTGAGGTTTCAGTAAAACTTTCAATACTGACTCTCACAGGATCCTTCTGCACAAAATGTCCAGCCAGAGCTGGATAAACACGTCATGTGGTGGGTGAGCAATTGGCTCACAGGTCGAGCACAGAGGGTAATAGTGACTGGGGTGACATCAGACTGGTCACCTGTCACTATGGGGTTCTGCAGGGCTCCACCTTGGGCCCTGTGCTCTTCAACATCTCACAAATGACTTGGACGCAGGACTGGAAGGGACACTGAGCAAGTTTGTAGATGACACAAAACTGGGAGGAGCTGTTGACTCCCTCGAAGGCAGGGAGGCCCTGCAGGGAGACCTCAACAAATTAGAGGGCTGGGCAATCACCAACCATGGGAAGTTCAACAGGGGGAAGTGCCAGATGCTGCACTTGGGGTGGGGCAACCCCGGATGTACGGACAGACTGGGAATGAGATACTGGAAAGCAGTGCCAAGGAAAGGGACCTGGGGGTCCTGGTCAATGGCCAGTTGGCCCTGAGTCAGCAGTGCCCTGGCAGCCAGGAGGGCCAACCATGTCCTGGGGGGCATCAGGTAAAGCATCGCCAGCCGGTCGAGGGAGGGGATTGTCCTGCTCTGCTCTGACCTGGGGCGGCCTCACCTGGAATATTGTGGCACTTTTGGGCCCTGAAATATAAAAAAGATATTCAGCTATTAGAGAGCATCCAAAGGAGGAAAACAAAGATGGTGATGGACCTTGAGGAGAAGCCATGTGAGGAGTGGTTGAGGGCACTTGGTCTGTTCAGCCTGGAGAAGAGGAGACTGAGGGGAGACCTCATTGCAGTTACAACTTCCTTGTGAGGGGAAGAGGAGGGGCAGGCACTGATCTCTGGTCTCTGGTGACCAGTGACAAGACCTGAGGGAATGGCCTGAAGTTGTGTCAGGGGAGGTTTAAGTTGGATATTGGAAAGAGGTGCTTCCCCCAGAGGGTGGTTGGGCACTGAACAGGCTCCCCAGGGCAGTGGTCACAGCACCAAGTCTGACAGAGTTCAAGAAGCATTTGGATGACACTCTCAGGCACATGGTGTGACTCTTGGGGATGGTCCTGTGCAGGGCTAAGAGCTGGACTTGATTATCCTTGTGGGTCCCTTCCAACTCAACATAATGGAAGACAACCAGTAGACAATACAACCTTCACACAGCTGAGACATGGCATTAAACCTACTCTTGCATAACTTATCTGCGTATCTTCTTAAGAAATATCTGCATATCTTATAACTTCCGTATCTTCTTATTGTATTTTCCCTAGTCAGACCTCCCTGCTGAGTCTGGTCTACATTTAGAACAGGAGTGACTCAACGGTGTAAAACTAGATGGGAATGACTTCCTAGGGACACTTCTGGTATTGCTCTGTTTAACTACACGATGTGTAATAAATCCTCCCATTAATTTCTAAGCCATGAGAAGAGACCTATGCAGTTCTGCACTGTTCTTCTCTTAATAGCCCTGGTTTCACTCAAACACCCATTGCAGCATGTGTTTGTGTTATGTGACAGAAAACCTGGCCTCTTTTAGCTGGGCATTTTTTTTAAGATCACCAATTAAGTCAAGATATTCATCCTTCCACCCTGAACTCACAGGAACAATGAATAATATGAAGAAAATGCTGAAAGAGTTCTTTTGGTCCTCCAAATAATGATACACCTATCAAGTTGTAACAGGAATCATTTGTTTCTTCCTTTCATCTTCCTCTACCAAATATTAAGATTTTTGCTTGGAATGCATTTCGTAGTGTGAGCCCAGATTTCTTCTCTCTCAGCTCCATGCTGCATGTGGCTGGATTCCCCTGTGGATTTTGACTGTACAGCATAAACATCAGACTGGGAATTGTCAATGCAGATAACATCAATCAGCAAAAATATAAGTCTGAAACACTTCTTATTATGCATGAGAGTAAAAAAGCAAAATAATGGAAATGCATACCATGGTTTAAGCTGTCAACATTTTCCCACCAGAAAAAAAAGTCAGTTAAAAAAAAAAAAGAACAGAATGATGAGTAGAGATTCCTAGAACACCACACTCTAAGCACGATGCCAAGTTACAACAACAGCACTTGGAGGCCCAAGCAACGACAAGCATACACAATCATGGCCTCCATCAAATAAACAAACAAATACCAGGAAAGAAAGAAGAAAAGAAAAAATGGTACAAAACACTAAAAAAAAAAAAGTACTATTTGTGAAGATTGATATTCTTGGAGGAAAAAAAAATAATAGAGAAGCTGCTATAGCCATGAGATTTACAAAAGAAAATGTCTATGTTTGCCAGCCACATTGCATAACTGAACAGAATGCAGTCACCTGTCTGCTTCCGTTTAACACAGGAGAGATGAGTTGGTCTAGTATATTTGATAGCAGGTTTTAAAATGATTTTCCTGGAGGGAGAGTGGGCCTGAACTTCAGTTTTTTTAGCAAGTTCAGCTTTCTTATACACTGCTATGGACAAAAAGAACACAAAAACACAGAATCAGGAAAAAAACCCAGCAAACAGTTTCATATGACACATCAAGTGGCAGGCCCACTGCTCCACAGCTCCAACCCAACGCACCACTTTTACTGGGGGCAACGTCGAAGAGGGGAAGCACCAGTGCATTAACTCAGATGCGTTACCCGGTGGTCAGTGGGGATGTCTATAATGAAACAGGGCCAGTGGAGCAGTGAGCCTTGCACATGGCTTCTCATATATTTGTACAATGTCTCATTAAAAAAACACCACCATTAATACTGTTATGGTGCACATCATCTACAAGAGATTAACCGTATAGTACTGTAAAACAGTAAGAAAATAAAACAAATAAAAAAATACTGTAATAGGGAGTGGTATATGAACCTTTTTTCCTTCTCACTTCATCTCTGGAGAGTGTGCTAGGCTCCTTTTTAGCTATTTTCCTTTCAGGAGTAGAAATCCTGCCTCTCCCAGTTTTAAAAGGTTTCTCTTTTTTATGCTTATCGAGAGATGATCTTCGCAATTCTCTCTCTGCCTTCTCCTCTTTAGGAACAGTCTCTAACTGTTCAGTCATGATGCTCCTATCATCATCTGTAGGATCAGAGCAAATTGTAACAACAAACAAAAGATTAGTAACAAATGTTAACAATACTGTGGTGGAGCAGGGGAAAAAATAGTTGAAGACAGAGCAGACAATTAATAAAAAAAAAGGCAGACTATTTTTACCATTTTTCTGAAACATGCTGAGATTACTATTATAACTGTAATAATTTTGCTTTTCAATCACTATGATTTGGAAGCAAAAATATTCAACAGACAAAACAGAAAGGATAATGCACACCTTGAGCGTCTGCCCAGAGACTGTCTGTGTCCATGACGGAGTCATCAATTGTTGTTTCATCTTTGTAATCATCACAAATCTCTGTCTTGTAGTCGGTGAGCAGGATTTCTTCTCTCTGGGGTGAAGCAGGAGCCTCTGGGGAGCCCTCCTTGGGTTCAGTTTCCACTTCTTCAACCTCCAGCTCCTCTTCAGCCTGGGAGTCTCCTGTTTCGATGTCTTCTTGCTGAGTAGCAGCAAAGCGCACACTGTGAGAAGCAGATTCACCCTCATCAACTGTTGTCTGCACCACTGTGATAAAGTCATCCTCCACTGTCACCACTGATTCAATAATGCCTTTCAGTTCAGGCACTGCTTCTGGGCTACCCTTGGCTAGCATTTCTTCAGCAGCAGGCTCCCCAAAGCCTGGGGGCATTTCTGATACAAGATGCTGTTTATCCTCTTCTTTTTCTTCCTGCTCTACTTCCACCTCTTCTTCCTCATGTTCTTCCCCCTTTGTGGCCCCAGCTTCCACTTCACATGGCAACAGCTTTTGGGTTTCCATAGGTTTCACAGCTGTATCAGGAATCTTTTCAACTCCTTCTGCAGGCTGTGGTATGCTCTCCATCTGGATCTCAGCAGGCTCTTCCCGGAGATGCTCAGCTTTGGAAAGGAGTTGCTCCATAGAAGTCTCCTTTGCTGGTAACTCTGCAGGTAACTCTTCCTCAGACATGGGAGGTTTTGGAGGTTCTGCTTTGACATCCTCTGGTTTCACAGATTCTCCATTCAAACCTTCTTGGGCTTGGTCATGCTCTCCACTAGATTCATAAGACTCCTCTTTATCAACTGCCTCTTGATGTACCAGATCGGGCTTAGGAACTTTTTCCTTAATTTCTGTTTCTGACAGTTTGGTGCCATCTTTCATGTAACTAGGCTCAGTTTTGGAAAGCACATCTGCATCCTTTGCTTCTCTGGAGAACATGGTCTCATCTTTCTGCTGAGCGTCTTTGGGTTCAGCCTCTGCTCTTTTAACAAAGGAAACAACCTCACCAATCTTAGCATCTAACTGATTCTGATTTTCTTGGTCAGCTCTCCTTGCAGCTACTTCCATATCGTGCTTTATAGCATTGTAATCTGGTTTAACCAAAGCTTCTGTCTCAGCTATTTCAGGAACAACACTAAGAGTCTTCTCTTTCTCTATCAATAAAGAAACAGAATCCTTTTCTACTGCTATCTCTGAAGCAGGTATTCTGTCAAACATGGTACCACCAGGTAAATGAACTTTACCAGCCACACTTTCTTCTTTCCTTTCTGACACTGCCTCAGCTCTTGTCTTCTCTGGCTCTGCTCCTTTAATGGGACAGACCTCTTTAGAGTCAACTTGATATTCACTTCTTTCTAGCACAGTATCTAGCTTCTCTTTTTTCTCCTGCTCCAAGTCCCTCACCAGAATGGACTCACCATGCTGACCTAAGTCCTTTTCCCTAAGGAATTCTTCTTTTGATTTTTCAGCAGCTGCCAGCTTCACTTCCACTAAAGACAAGTCGGGAGCCAAGCCGCGTCTCAGTTTTTCATCTGTGCCTTCGTAGAAGGGACAGGTTTCACTCGTTAAATTCTCACTGTCCTGAACTGGAGAAGGGAGTGGGACTGTGTACTTATTGAAAACACAGTAGCCCAAGTCTTCCAGCTGACTTTCAGCTTTAAGATTTACGTGGTTTTCATCTGTCACAGGTGGCAGGGCTGTGCTGCTGTCCTCCACAACAGCGTCAGAAGGAACTGGCTTCTTCTGCGCCACCTCAGCATCTGCACTCACAGAGGCTAATCTAGATCTTGTCCCTGCCAAGTCTAACATTTCAGGTAGGTCAGGAGCCAGGACAGCCCCATTTTTGTAATAATCTTTTGCCTGGAAAGATGATTCGACTGAGGTTTCAGGCTGGACTTTTTCTTCTGGTTTTGCTTTTTCTTCTGCGACGTGCTCATCTTCCTCTCTACTATCAATGGGGAAGCAGGGGGCCTTCTCCAGTGCTGGTGTGGTCACTGGCAAGTAGTCATCACCTTCATCCATACTTCCACTAGTGTTAGTTAGAATATCTGAAGCCAGGGGAGAAAGATCATGTGCACGACCAAAGCTAAATCCTAGAGCTATTGAATCCAGGCAAGACATGGGCAAGTTAATAGACATACTTCTCTGTTCAATTGCAGATCTCCCCCCAAGTCCCAAACTCCTGCTCAGAGTCAGATCATCTTTATTTTTACTGTGAAGTTCTCTCTTATCCCCATAGACTTTGGGGTCAATAGTGAACATTCTTTCTGTTGGGGAGCTAGGTTCTTCGGATGTGTCTGGTGTATAGCTCTGAGCCAAGGTACTGTACCCCATTTCCTGAGCACGCACAGCCTGCTGCTGATTTAATTCTGTTTGTAATTCTTCCTCCTCCTCCTCCTCCTCTTCATCTTCTGGTATTAGACGACCTCTCTGATAAGGCTCATATATACTCTCTTTAGTGTCACTTAGCTCATAGTAATCACTGCCTTGTTTCAGACCATCTGCTTTGAAGGCTTCCTCTTTCAGAGCAGAGGTTTCAAAATACTTCGACATTCCTGAACGATCTTCCTCCTCTTTCATTTGATGAGGAGCTGAAACACTTGTCTTATCCTCCTTGGCATCTTTTTTAACATCTTTTTCTTCAAGACTAGAAGTCTTTTCAGTGGTTAAACCTGGTGCCTCGGGGGTTTTCTCTAGTACTCCAGATAACTGAGTGGTATCAGAGTGCTCTACTGTTTTCTCAAGAGTCCATTCATGGCTTAACTTGGCTGGGAGTAGCTGTGTGCTTGGCTCTGCCTCCTTTTTCATGTCTATTGTTGCTGGGAGCACACTTCGGTCCTTTTCTTTTTCTGTTTTGAGAGTATCAGGTGACTTTTTAGTTTCACCATCCTTCTGAAAGTCTGCTTTGTCTGGGGAAATTGTTTTAACTTCAGGTTTTGTGGTTAATTTACCATCATCTAATATTCGAGCCTCCCCTTTATCATAGAAGTCATACCTTTCTTCCTCATCACTCTCATCCTTGGTCATGTCCTTTTCCTCCCCCCACGGAGGGATTTTTGGGGTGCTTGGTGTTTTCAGGCCATCTACAGTTAGTGCTGAGACTTCTTGCAGAGCTAACGTCCTGTCTCTGTGGATCTGTTCGTCTTTACTGAGGTCTTTGGCAAACAGTTCGTTACTGGGCTCCTGTTTTGTTTTGAAGGCGTCTTTGAGCGAAAGCTCCTGGGGGACAGCAGGAGATGGGCCTGAAGGAAGTTCACTTTTAGCTGCTTCTGCCTTGTGTTCTGGCAGCAATAGAGAACTTTCACCACAGCTGATGGCAATACCTTGGACATCTTTAAGGTCATCTGGAAATTTGATAGACATAACTTGGTTGGTTGATGAGGGCACACCTGCAGTCCTTTCTTCTGCCCTGCTCACTTTAGGCAGTTGAGATGACAAGTCCTTTTGTTCTTGAGGAGCAGGAGGTTTGGCAGCAGGTTCTGCAAAACTGGCTTCCCCTTTCTTCTGTGACTCAGTATCCAAGACCTTTTCTGATGGAGGTGAAGGCATTTTTTCTTTGTCTTTGTTCTCTGGTTCCTTTTTATCTACAGCCTCTGTTTTTGCTGGCTGTGGAACTAAGGCATCGTATTTAGGTTGCTCAACAGTCTTACTGTCTTTCCCAGATTCATGTTGCTTTGTGTCCAATGGTCCTGTTGCGAAAGGGCGTGCGCCCTCCTGGACACGGAATTCCATCTTCGTGGCTGCAAGTAAATCTGAAGTAGTTTGTTTGGGTTTTATAACAATATTATTTAAAGCACTTACAGGCAGGCAAGTCAGGTGGCTTACAACACCTTGGTATGAATGATGGAATGGAGAGGAAGAAAGATGCAGACATGCAGCAAGGCCATCCACCTAGAAATCTGCTTTGCTGGGCTCTGTACCTTTATGTTAGTTTTGCATTAGTAAAGTCTGCAACTTTAATTGAATCAATAGTATATTTGTGTGCTGCTGATATTTAAAACATACTTATTTATACATTTTTGCATCTTTTTGGCATTTTTCTTCTACATGCGGCCTAAACTAAAGAGATAATGCAAGCAAAAAGTTTTGCAAGTGCCAGAAGAGGCTGGTTTTTTAATTGTACCACCTTTAACATTCACTTTGGCAAATGACAAAAATCTCGCTTCTATCATGAGACCACCATCAGCAACAGATCTATTAATAGACCTAGATGTTGAAGGTCTGGTCTTCGAAATGGCCAGTCAACTACAGCTGTAACCGAAGTTAAAGAATACTTGATTAACCCTAATTAAGCTAATTTGAAACTAAAAATACTACTCTCATACTCTGTCACTATATTTTCAGAAAGTAATACCCAGTAAATTTTTTTTTAACACGCACTCTGTTAATCATTAATAGATTGATCGTTTTTAAAAACCTATGGAAAATGGTGATTCCTATCACACTGAAATCTTCCTATCATTGAAAATATGAAGAGAGAGACTGCAGAATGTGGCAGATCTTTCTGCAGTAATCTGTAAAAAAAAATTTTACGAGTTTTTTTTCTAAAGCTTGTTACAACTAGCATTGGGCTGATTCTGAATTTCCTCAGATCTGATCTGAAGTCCATGGAGCCATGGAGCCATTGAAGTCCATGGAGCCATGGCCCTGATGAATCTGATTTTTTTAAGAACACTTAGTATCCAAGTATTGGTCATTCTTTAAATATTTGCATATGTTAATATTGGGTCTAAAATGCAACTGCCATTCTGAACTCCACAGGTAGCCAAACTAGAAGTCTACAGTAATTTTGCTTCTTTATGTTTTTACATTTGGTGACTGACTTAAAAATCCTATAAAGTATAAAGACATGGCCATTGGGCTGGTCATCTTTGTTTCCCAGCAATTAAATAGCTAGATACTGGTTTTCTCTGTGTATCCTACTGTAGTGAAAATGAACAATACCAATGGTATCTAAACATATTCTGACTGCCAAAGGAATTCAATGTTCTCCAGCTGGGCCAGCCAGAACACCAGCCTCCCAAATGCAGCATTTCTTAGCCAGGGAGGGAGTGGGTACATCACTACTCCACACAAGATGTCTTTGAACCTCGTTGCACTGGCTGAGGAGAAATACCATTAAAAGGGAAATCCTGAAGCCTAGTTCTTATGTACTGAAAGACTATTGCAGCAAATATTTTGTTCAGAGGGCAGATCAGAACTTCACCCAATGCACTCAACTCTAACTTTCACTTTGAAGGCAAACGTCCCAGTGGAAGTGATGGAAGTTTTTCCTAAGAAGGGCACTATAGAGGGTTAAACATTTGTAATAAGGTAAGACACACAAAAAATCAGAGTTCTAGCAATGACTGAGAAGAGGAGGGGAGGGGTGGACTCAATGAATTGCAAGGGTATGACATAAGAAGCAATAGCTTTAAGGAAGCTAAACCAGAATGCACTGAAGCGCACACAAAAAAACCAAACCAACCAAACAAAAAACCTGCACACTGCAAATGAAAACATTTCTACAGTTTAAGCATCTTTATGTCATAGTCAAAGGCAATAAATCTGCTGTTTAAAAGAAACGCAGATGAATCTCTGCACCAAAAAGAAAAAAAATATACACAGATTAGCAATGTGACTGGCAAACACATCCGAGATGGGCAAAAAAGGCTTACGCAGAGGAATCAGCTCAGCTGCAAAGCACATTTCATCATGGCAAAGTAAAAAATCAGGAATCAGCTGCAGCGGTGGGAAACCATGTTGTCATACAGCACCTACACAGTCTTATTATCTGCTACACACTCTTCAAGCATAATAACAAGAGCAGTCATACTAATAAATGGGGGAAACAGAAAATGAAGCAGCCTTGGAAAGCACTGGAGAAAGCTGGAGGAGGATTCACCAGCGGCAGACACATGCAAAGCTAAGGCGGACACACCTTCCTCAGCCAAGGAAGGGGGTGTGTCTTTCAGGGGTGTTCCCACCACAGCAGTTACACTGTCCCTGCTGGATGCCACACTTGGCACTTTGTCTTCGCCACACACTTTGGCCTCCGAACCAGAATCCGGCTGACCCTCACAGAGGCCCTTGGCCTGGTCCGAAGGCTCAGTGGGCCCATGCTCTTTCCCCATTTGCTTCCCAGGAAGAGCAGCAGGTTTGGCTTCCACAGACATTGGACTTTTTATCGGTTCTTCTTCTTGGGGATGGAAAAAGGAGGTGACATCAACACCAACAGTAAACACCAAGCACACAGCTGAACAGGACTGCTTTTACTTAACATTTTCAGCTCAACATTTTGGATTTAAGGGTGTCAAAGGACTGCTAGCATCCAGTCCATTTTGGTCACCATGGAACTGAATTTTCATTAGGGAAAAAAACAAACTGAAAGCCTGTCTCCCCCAAAGAAACATGTTTATGCTGTAAGAGGAGAGCTGAAAGTGTTTTAGAGGTATACCTCTCCCAAAGATGACTGTGGGTCAAATAGTCATTGCAAATGGAGATGGTATTGAATGACAGACGGCTCTGAAAACATCAATGCATCAATGAGTTCAAAGTACACTGATATTTTTCTGATATATGTGCTGTTTAATCCAGTACCAGACATTCAGCTGAGGTGGAAGAAGGTATAAGGCATTGATTTCTTTCCACTGACCTTGGTAATACTGACTGCTACATACCAGCAAAGTGAATCTTTGGCAAAATACTGAGCACTTCCAGAGCCTTAACAGGCCTTGTGCATGGCTGATAACTAATGGGTTTTGCAAGATTTCAGCCAATATTTCTACACTGAACAGGTTTACAAACAAATTCTCCCTTAGGCTGACATCTGAAATCTGTATGTGAAAATCACCATTTTAACAGAAGGACTCTTCATTTCCTTTGCTGTTTCCCCACTAGCCCCCTCATCACCAGTTAAGTCAAAGAAACCAGTCAATTCAACGTAACTATTTGTTTATCTGAATCTCTAAAATATATTGTTCACCTTATGGGCTGTTAGAATCAGTAGAGTAGTATCAAGAACAGTCTTTACTCATGCCATGGCAGAAGAACGATTAGAAAAGTCTCCATTCTGGAATTGCACTCCTGCCACTGCTACTCAGCTGAAATGACTATGCACTATTAGCATTCCCCCTGATAAGAAGTCAGGATTAAATGTGAAACCTCCAATTCAGCAACACAGTTAAGCAGCTGACCAGTAGCCATGCTGCGGGTAACCTGATGACCTCCCTGGGTGTAAAGTGTGTCTTATGATTAAGTACTTTGCTGAATCAGACTTAGAACAAAGTGCTCTCGAATCTAGAAGTGGCTGTATGCAGCCTCTTGGTATTAAAACAAAACCTCTTTACGAGGGCTCGATTTTTCTCCTGAGATTGGCCCAGTGAAGAGCAGACAATCAATCATCCATTTCAATTATGGCCTTTAAAGAGTGATTTAAGGAACATAAACACTAGTTCAGTCTGAGAAAATATCATTATGTAAAGAACAACACATTATTAATAACTTATAAGATAATTAGTGTTAGATACAATATCTTAAATGAACAGAAGCCAGAAGATTCAGAATCAAACCTGGACCGATGCCTGAGCGTTACAGGGATATTTACACATGAGCAGACTGTGAAAGTAGCCTGGCAGGACAGCAGGTCTCCAGCTGTAAGAGGCCCTGACTTGAATAACTTCCTTTACTTTTCCTTTTCCAATTTGATGTTTTGTATGTGCATCCCTTTCAACTAAAAAATGTTAGGGAAAGCCTCTCATTTTACTCTAAGCCATTCCACCTCCATTTCCTGAGACACTTCACACAATGTTACATGATTAAAAATAACTACTCAAACTAGAAAGTTATCCCTGACTTAACGAAGGAATCCTACATTTTCCCTTTGTGCAGCAGACTCATGCCAAGCAGACTGCCAGCCTACAGGCAGCAAGTGAGGGGGGCTGTTTCATAATGACTATCTTTCCACTGATGATCCCGCTTCTTCCCCTTTTTTCTTCCTCACACAGATGTTCTGAGATCTTGCACTTTCTCCAGAAGTACATGACTGAAAAGGAAGATGCCTATGAATTAACCAGGCCAGGAGTGCTCTAAGTACAGGTACAGGCACCCTAGCTATAGCAATTTTCTATCTCCCTGAGTTTCAGGCAGACATGCTGACATTAACGAACTTCAGTTATTAGCACTGATCTCTTACTGGTGGTGTTGCAGTTAACAGGCTATATTGTCCTGTTAATTCAGAACAACTCTGGTTTTGTTGAACTGACCCAGTGAGCAGTTTCAAGTACACAGCTCCATCCTCCTGAGACACAAACCTTTCAGTACTATTTTTAACTTCAGCTCCTGTGTCCCAAGATTGAGTCAGTCAAATGCTGAGAAATCAAATGTCATCTATTTTGCTTTGAAGAAGTGAGCCTTCCTGTTAGTCATTGAAATAGATTCTCCCTTGATTCCTCAAAAGCCATTTCACTTTTATGTAACCCCTACTAATAAAATAGTGCTTACTAATGTGCTCAGGTCATAGAAAAAGGAGGTACAGAGAGACAGTAAACCTTTTTTCCCTCCTTGTTTGCAGTCAGCTGGCACAATGCTAACGGGATGTGTCCACAAAACAACTGGATGTCAAACATGACCCATTACTGGCTGAAATCACCGATGTACACTGAGGTAAGACTTACTTACTTTGCCTGCTCGAGGATTAAAGACCTTCCACAGCTATCTTTGGTATAGATGTGGGGTTTTTCCCCATTGAGTTAACAACTGACTTACCTCCAGTAACCATCTTTTGGCCTAGTTTGCACATTGTTGTTGGCAGTATTGCTCTGGTACAAAGAAAAAATTAGCTTCCACTTCTTTGAACTAGCTGCTCCTTCTCCTTTTGCCATAAGCCAGGTCTGGAGACCAAGAGTCCTGATTTAAGCAGGGACCATGGTTACACTGACCCCAAAGCTGCATTTACTGCTCATGCTGCAGCTTTACCTTGACATGAAGAGACTCTTTGAGAGGCGTCACTTCTATGTGGGGAGAAAATACATCTAGGCTTCCCTCCCCAGAAGGCAGCAATCTCAGGTACATACGGAATGGAATGGATGGCAGGTGGGTAGAGGGGAAAAGGAACCAAACCGGACCATGCTCAGTTCACCTTCATCATGGCCCAACAAGACCTCTGTGCTCTTCACTGTGGCACTGGGATGTGTACTAGAGCCAGTCCACTCCGAGCTGAACAAAGGGTGTTCATAGTACTCCTCATCGGAATGGTAGGGCTCATCAGTGGGCACAGACACTGAGATGGAGGGGGCCGGGTGTTTACGCCACTCCCTGCTGGCAGCAGGCCCACAGCCGGGGCAGTGCTGGAGCAGTCCCACCTCATCCTCCGCCCCTTCATCTACAAATAGACACACACAGACAAACGCTGCAGGACAGACAGAAAGACACAGAAAACACCAGACAGGATGGACACATGCTCTAACAACACCAGTCACTATGTCATGCTGCAGAGTGGATGACACCAGTCAGGCTACAGGTGATGCAGGATGGAGGAGTGAGCCAGCCGTGCTTTTTAACACATGGGCCGCATACGAGGTGCTTCCTACTGGCTTTGCAAACACTGTAACTCAACCGCTGCAGTAAGTGAATTTCAAAAGTACACACATTATTTAGAGGAAAACACTGCACACAAACCACATGTCACAACTATATTATACCTGACTGTATTAAAACCCTCTGAAGTGTCCTGATACAGTTGTATCACCTCATAGTCATCACATAAAATACTTAAAAATGTAATTAAAAAGTCCCTTAATTAAAAAGAAAACCAGCTTACACTTTGGTCAATGGTGGCTTTATTTTTCATTGTATCTATTTCAAAATTCCCCACTTTCTTCTTTTCCCTGTAAACAAGTAACATTTAAACAATCATAAAAACCGTTCCCCAAACAGCTACTTTTTTTTCCTTGATAAAGGCCACACAAAGCTGCTGACAGCAGTCTCTCTTAGTCCTACATTTTATGCTGTTGTGCCATGTTTTCATGGGTGAACTAGCTCCCACCTTGGTGTTTGCTAATGCTTTGGAATGACAGCTTTATTCACCCATCACTGTAGCACTGCAGAAAATCACATAATCATCTCAGGACTACACCAGCTACTGACAGCTACAGGGAGGGGGAGCTTGAGTTGTTTTTTGCAAGAAAAAGGAAAATAATACTACCCAATGAAAACGACTGGCCTAGCACCTGATCCATGTATACAAACCTAGAGGGGAGACTTGAGAGCTCATGTAGGCTGAGGTGTCCTCTTGTCATGAATAAAGCTACAAAAAAATTAAACACCTACTGCTAGACAAAAGAGGTTTAAGCCCATTCTCAGTGTATGACACCTGGCAGCTTGATGAACACTGCATTCATGGTGTGCCTCACACACCTGCAGCTATTCCAGTGCATTTCCTATTAGCTTCAGGAACAAGTCAATGCTTGGTGTCCCTAGTCTTCCTCCAGTCAATTGTAACTTAAAGAATTTCCCCAGAGCTTCTGAAACTTTCACTCTCAGATCCAGAACATGGAGTCAGAAAGCAAGGCTTTAACACAGGCACAATAACAGATATTAACCAGATCTCTGTGTGTGATCCCAAACAAGATGGCTCACGAACGCTGCTCTAACTGCCATTACCCAATCTGGGGAAGCAACGTTGATCCAAAACAATTCCATCTATAAGAGGTATAAGATTCTTCCTGGTAAACAACAGTAAGTTTTAAGTTTCTTTTTATAGCACACCATGACAAGGCAATGTGTCTTTAAAAAAGCATCCTCTGCTTTCTGCGGCAACAGAAAACAAGTGTCCAGTAATGACATGGATTTCTTTCACCTGGGAAAGGAATGCTGTAGGAGCAACCCATTCAGGCTCAATCACCCTAAAAAAGGAAGGAAAATTAGCAATCCATGGCAGTATTGGTAGCTGGTATGCTGTGTACCTGCACACACACAGATACCATCCACAGAACTTGGTTTAAGCAAACCGTTCTCACTGTTTCTGTCAGGGCATAAAAAGTGCCCAAATCACTCATAGTTTACCTGCTTCACTCTTGTAGTGGAATCCAAACCCCAGATTCAGGGGTTTATGCATTATTAAAAGAGGTAGGTGTGGAAAGATAAGCTGGTAACCAGCTTCTGCCAAGCAGGAAGCTCTGCAGAGCACTGCAATAGGAAATGCTAAACGCAGGGCTGGGCCTAAGCTTCCCACTTCTATCTAGTACTCAAGAGCCAGCAGCAAGGTTACAGGGAAGCAGCATCCTTGATCCACTTGCAATGCAGAAAAAGTGGGATTTCTTCTCTGCAAAAGCCCCTCCAAAATTCTGTAACAGATTTGAGGGGTCTCATGGTTTGTAAAAGGCAAGTTACAGGAGGCGAGCCCACAGCTCAGAGGGCAAGACACCAGGAATCAACTCCCTCCTAAACTCAAGAAGGTTCAAAACTGCAATTCCCACTCCTCTGCATGGTGCCCTCACACCAGCCCCTGTATTACTGAGGGCAAGAGTGGAATGAGCTGACACATTTGCCACCTTTTCTGCTGGAACTGGAGAAAAAAGCGAAGGCTGATATGGTCAGAAGCAGAACACAGAGAAGGAGGATGTGCCAAAGGAGAGGTTCTCCTTCCAGCTGTGGGTTATATGTATCCAGAGACCCTGCAAAAGCAAAATGCATTGACAAGAGTGGAGAGGAATTCCCAGAACTTCTCTATACTGAGGCAAACAAAGCCGAAAATTCCTTCTTTATAGGCTCTAAATGGATTGTAGGCAAGAAAATACAGGCCCTGTCACTGCTCCTTAAAATAAGAGAACTGACAACAGTAAAAAACCTTATTATTGTGATGGTCCAAAATCATTAGGAGTGCGAAGTCTTGTATTGTTTGGGGCTGTTACAGATGTGGCTATTACAACTTTACATTATTTATCAGTTTGAATAAAGATATTTTCAAAATTACTGCAGATAATTTCATTAACAGCATAATGATATCTTTAAAGGAGGATATGCTTTTATTTCAGCAACAAGAAAAGTCTTTTGTTATTTTAGTCCCTTCCAATCTTTTTCATCTCAGAGCGTGGGAAAAATCCCTAATGCATTCTGAAGTCCAAGATTAAAATCACTTCTCACAAAGGCTAATTCTGCTTCAGCTTCCATGTATATTTTGAGAATGCCTTTCAAGAAGTAATTTTCCCTGTCAACAGATCCATTTTCATAGGCCACTTGATTCTTTTCAGTTTGCAAAACATTCTTACTTGGTATATAAAGCCTAACATGAAATGCCTATTTTAAAATGGAAGACAGTTCATCAAAGGCATCCTTCTATCCTGTAACATTTAAGAAAATTTTTACATGAAGACATCGTTGACCATTGTCAAAAGGCATGGAGCACAAAAGAAATGCCAAGTTGGCAAGAGAATATTGCATCAGCCCTGCATGACTAGATATAACTGATAAAAGGATTAGAGGGTGTTAGGGAGAATTTAATTTCCTGAACAAAATTATCCTATTATAGTCAATATAAATGAAATAATTTCAATAAGGCAAATAATTTTCTTACCTTCTGCAGCAGTTAAAAGGGACAGGTTCATTTGAATATTTTTCTGCAGCCAAATCAAAGAAACCTACTCCACAGACTCCTTTCTCTCGTGAAATACAGTTGACCCACAAACCTCTCTGTCTTTTCTACCTTTTTTTTTTTTTTTAAATTGTGTTTGCTGCATGGCTGGCCACATCCACCTTTGTCATGTCTACAACAGTGATTTCCTTCCTACTATGACTGAAGGAAGTCTCTCGGATTCAAAGCAATACAACACACACTGACAAGTGCATTAGGAAAAGCTTCTAGGAGAAGGGAAAAAAAGGTCTGAGGTAGATACACCAAATGCTCACTGTTTTTGTTCAACAAATTAATAAATTGTATTCTACTGAGCAGAAAGACAGACAACGTAAAGATGCATGAGGATGGACAGTCAGGTGGTATAGGGAATGGGAGGTTTAAACAAGTACAGTAAAACTGGGTCAAACCCTACCGAGGCAAACTCTTCTGAACGGGAGCTTTGCCTGAATAAAAACGACAGGTCTGGCTCACTCAGGTCAGCAAAAGCTCAACTTACCCACAGAAAACAAGGACTCTCATCTTCCAACAGAGAAGAACACAAGATTTTTACTACCATTAAGCACCTTGAGTTGACAATATTGGTATTTTGGGGAAAAGCAACAAAATATATTTCTGGTGAAATTATTTCCAAGTTCCTTCTGTTGCTTCAATCAACTCTACTGTGAGTTCCAGTTTGAGAGCTGGACAATGAACAAGATGCTTCTAGCAGAGTGCATTAATGACTCAGCACACCATTTCTGTTCCTACTTCCTCTATGAACTGGCCATCTGCTCTGAAAAATGAAGAGTTGAATCAAAATCTTGTCATGGAAAAGTCTTCAATGTTTTTAATAACCATGACATTGCAAATCATCAGAAACATCTCCCAAACACTGACCTTTCAGTTGATGTAACCACCCTTGTGGGGTTAGTGATATTATATTACTTAATAGTAACTAATTATATTAACTCAATTCTATGTGCAAGGAAGGAGAAAAATAACAATGTTATATGACTTGCTGAGTCATATGCAGAGCTAGGAACTGCAGGGTGTGGCAGCTGATAATAACCTCGAGTTGTATAGTGTTTTGCCACCTTCCTGAGTTAGTACAACTAGCAAAATACTTCCAATTTGCATTTACAACCTCCTGCCAATTAATCAATATAAGTACTTTACAAAATCCTAAAATACATGCAAATAATACAGCTGACAGAAACAGCAAGCCAAGTTAATCCTCAGCCTGAGGCTAATGAAAGAACCTTGACATTGGCCTGAAGCAGGAGAACATGCTCATTACTGTGATATGAAAAATTAAAAAGCATACACTGGACTAGCCAAGTGAACTATATATTAGAAAACAGTGGTAAAATCCTGGTAACAATTCTAAAAACCTTTGCTAATGCCTTACCATTTTTCAATCAGTAGTTCTGATAGCCATTACCTTTGGGTGATGAATCCAGGGACCGTTGTAATATTTTTTTAAACACACAGTGGGCACATGTTTTTTTAAAAAACACAATAATCAATTAATCAAGTGCTTTATATTGGTTACTAACCACAGCCAGTAGGTATTTCAAGAATAGTGGACTGACAAATGTTGTTGTTAACATGGCCTGCAATAGCATTGTGTCAAAAATGACTGCAAGACGGAACATGCCTGATTGCAGTGTCCTAATAAACTGAGAGTCAGACTATGCTAGCACATGAAATAACAACCATTCACTTGCAAAATTCATAGAGGCTGTGTGTTAAAATAGCAAAGTTTGTTCAGCAGATGATAAGAAATTATTTTCATGCACTTATGTAACAAAAAGAAAGAGAAAATGCTAAAAGAAAATCCAAGAAGGAAATAAATGGACACAGAAAGATGCTACTGATATGGCAGAGTTCAACTGACAGATTCCAAACCCAAATGCTTCTCTCTTTTCCCCATGACACAGCTCAGTTTTGACACACTGCTGTCTCCCTGTACGGATGGCCTTGATGCAGCAGTCGTCTTCTGTTGAACAAAGCACTGAGCACACGCCTACACTGCAAAAACTTCACTGGCATTTAGGCCTCTGCTTAATGTTAAGTCAACACTTCAGTTCTTCACTGGAGGAGATTTTAGCAGGACGAAAATGCAGTGATTATGGGCTACTGACATCGAACATTCATTGTGCAGAACAGAACAGAAATTTGCTTTGTGAGACTAGAATGTGACTGCTGCACTTTGTGTACAGAACCCCCAACACATGCAGGCACTGAAGCATGAATTACCGGTCGAGGGCCAAAGAAATGATTCAACTCTGAATCTCCTTGCTTTCATGCATTTAAGATTCCAAAGCTAACAGTAAGTAAAAAAAAAAAAAGCAGCCAAACAAATATTAAGGAAAGAAAGATGACCCATACTGAATCACAGCTTTGGCAACCACACTGGGACAGCAGACACCTTGGTTCATATTGCACACAACAGACAAGAAGGTGAGCAGCACCACCTCTTTTTCTTTAGTATGGACATACTTAACATATCCTGTCGGTTACCTCTGTGCGTGTGTCTACCTCATCCATGCATTGCAGCTGGTTTGAAGATGGGGAGTTATTGCTGGGAATGCCTTATCTTTTCACATGAAGGAGCAGAAAGTATCTCCATTTTCTGATTCCCCCATCCTTTAGATTCATGTCTCATCCCTCTGCTGACAGCTGTGCACTGCAATGTCCAGGAGACCCTTACCTTCCTCCAGAGCTCCGGTCTGCTCAGAAGCTGGCGATGGAGGCGGGGAAGGAGGCAGGTTAGTTGACTCTTCAACTGCTGTTAGGAATTGAATGGTGAAAATGAGACACAGCAATTAACTGCAGGAAGACCAATGCATGATGAAAGCTGCAGTCAGCCTGTTCTGCCCAGTTGAGGATAATTCCTCATTCCATGAGTCCCACTGGGGACTCATGTCTACTGGATTTTCAGACAGACCCTTGCAGAATACACAGACAGTTATAATAAAAGAATTTTTTTGTTTTGTTCTGTTTTTTGGTGTGAATTATTTACAAGATTCTGGCATAGAGTACAATATAAATATCAAATAAAAGATAATCTTTTAAATCAGTATTGCTTAGAAAACCTTCAGTCACCCAAGGCAACACAAATAAAGCATCTGAGCATGAGAGATATTATAGATTCATGCCAGCTATCAGAAACTGGCATCCAATATCTTCCATCTACCTTGAGTACGTGTATAAAAAACATTCTTCACATTTTGTTTTCTTCTGCTGAGTTCAAGGTTTATCACAGAAAACATGCAAATATTGCTTGTCTAAATACAAAAGACATCAGCATAGGGAACTTAATGTCAGTCGTGACATAACAGTGATTCAGTTGAGCAAGGCACAGTGAAAACTTAGATGCACTTAGATTAGGGTTTAGATTCGTTCCCAGTCACAAGACTAGATGCTGAAACAAGATGATTTTTTTTCAATTATTTCAATTCAAGTATGATGAAATCTCAAACAAACTGCTTCTTAAATGAACTTAGAATAACCTCTGCACCTGATCTCCTACCAATCACTTTGAGAATTTTTTTTCTTTAAAACAGATCCACTCCTGGGGCTTAACCAATGTTTAAAAAAAAAGTAATAATTCTGTTTTAACAGATCTGTCTTATCAATAGCACCTCTCAACAAGCAGATAGTTTCCAATTCAGGGCTTCTTCCCAAGCACAGAAAGGCCACTTTCAAAGCCCCAGCAGAACTTTCCAGGCTTCCTCCTATTGATTTTAGTGTGTTTTGGGAAAGACTGTATGGGACTTGTCCTGAAGATGTGCTGTCCAGGGATAAAGTATTTATAAATTCATCACAATTCAACTGACCACAGGAACTGTAACACCAACAATTGTTAACTGAAGACATACTTCTCACAATGTTTTTTAAGTGACTTATCTAACTAGCTGGAACTGAATACCCATTTTGCCTCTCCCAGGCCCCAGTGAAGAGATCTGTAGTTATATATGTATGAAGCCATTTACAGAATTGGGGTCTTCCATGTAAAACTGAGTGTCTCCAAAGAATGAAATTACCAGCTGACATGTCCCTGCTGCAGTTCAAAGTTAGTTTAATGAAGCAAAAGACCTCAGGAACCAAATTTTCCACAAATATTCTAAACTAGTCATTGACTTTAATTCATCCCTGGGCAGGGTCCAGCCACTGCACTGAAGCAAGTGGAGTGTCTGTGGGGAAAATACCACAAGGCATTGTTTTGATTTAATTACAACGTAGGTGCACTCAGCAAAACCTGTCCAGGGCAGGCCTGAAAGACTTCCCTACCTCAGGATGGACTATGGCCTTTCTCTGGCCTTTCGTGTACATGTTTTGAGCTACTGTAGTATTCTGGCAAGGAGGAAGCACTTTAGGTACAAAAGGTTGTATACCTACCTTCTTTTATATATATACATGTAGAAGTATATACACACATATTTCAGAGAGACATTTCACAAAGGAGGCAGCAGGAGGATGGAACACGGTATGGACCAGTGGCAGTGGTACTGTTCCCAGTTTAGACCACTGTCATTTGCTTCTACCATGTGTGACTCCTTTTTCCACAATCTCCCCTCACCCTCCCCAGCTGCTAATCCCTCTCCGCCTTTACCTGCTGTGTCCCATTCCTTTCTGCTTCCTGTTGAGGTGCTCCCCCTCCCCCTATCTGAGCAGCTACCACCCAACCAGCAAAGCCTCACTTCCTTTTATATGCTCTCCTCCACCTTTGCATCTCCAGACATCAATCCTTCAACGCTGTACACGGCTGAGCACAAACAGTCCCACCAAACACAGCGAGGAAACCCCTGCCACCAATAACACTCACGGCTATGCCACTCTGGAGCCAGACACCAGCTGGAGAACTGCTGTTAGAGCAAACAGGGAATGAGACAGTCACAGGGCACAAAGAACCAGGAATGCAAGGATACTGCCATCAGTATTATGTGGTTCCAGTATTATCCAGCAGTGCTGTGGTTCACCCATGACCGTAACCAAGCTGAATACATGGCTGGCACTGCATTTTGTAACACACACACACAACGTTTGCAGGCACGAGGGTACTCGGAACATTCTTTGTCTCATTTTACCTAAAGGTAGAGGTCCAGGCTGATCTTTGTGCTGGGCTTCTTTTTCCTGCTCACCTTTCAGAACTGCTACAGCTTCAGCTGTTACTACTTGTACTATCCTCGCAGACACTTCTTCTGTGGCAGCAGCAAAGTCAGGGAAGAAAAAAAAAAAGAAAAGCATGCTAATCAGAATGGTGTTTTAAAATCATAAAGATTAGCTTAATCAATAAAAAATGGAGGCTGACTTAATCCATTTTTAAAAGGTAATCTTTTTCCCTGAAGTACAAGAAAATCAATTAAAAATAAAACAGAAGGACCAGATATTCCGAAGATCTCAGCGGGAAATGCTGAATATTTATAAAAATCAGGAGCCTAGCCTTTACAGCAAAATACACAAAGCATCATTATTAAATGTTCTTTCTGATAGGGATAATGTGCAGTAACTGCAAAATTTTAAGATGATAATTTATTAAATGTCTAGAAGAAATTTTGCAGGTACTGTTTTGCAAACAGGGGTAGAATGGCCAGCTGAGTAGTGGGATTTCTTGACATTTAATATATGAAGTAAGCTGCATTCTAACATGCACTTTGGATGCTATTTCCTCCTCAACAGCACACACTCAGTATGCATTAAAGGCACTTCCCAGACAGCCATCTATGCTGACGAGGGACTTGAAAAAAGAAGGGCCGAGTAACATTTCTGTACAATCAAAATGCATACTCTGTCTTCCTTTTAAGGCTGCCACTCATAGCCTTAGTTAAACAGTAGGTCTGAGTAGCATGCAGAGGAATTGTAGTGGGTAACAGCTTTTTTGTGGGATGGGCTCTTGGGTCCCCATCTCGGACATGGGCTTGGCTCCCAGCTGTCACTCTTGCTGTGCTTGGAGCAGGGAAGGGGACTTGCATGGAGCCAGCTCAGGCTTGACAGACCCGGGTGCCATGGGAGCCACGCTATGATCTTCCCCACCACCCTCAAGGTGTGGCACGGCTGAGAGGGGCTGAGGAACGGGGTGTTCTGGTGACCACAGGGCAGCAGTGGGACCACTGAAGGAGCAAATACTTTGAAACTGAGAAGCTGTGTCTCATCTCGGCTCCAGACCCACTCAAAGGTACAGTGAAATGTCATCAGGCATACAGCTGCATGTGGGAATAACCAGAGAGGCTTCCTGCCCTATAGGCAGTTCAGGTACCTTTGATCTAACACATCACGTTTTTAAGGGTTGATCCAGCAGAACCATCTACAAAAGAATTTAGAGAAAAAGGGTCTCTTGTTCTTATCTGCATATTAACCCACTGTCGCTTAGTCATCAGTAGTATATTCCTCTTTCTCAGCCAAACTCAGTGCAAATAAACCCCCTCAATCTCCAGCTCTAAGTGCTGTTTGAGAGCTGTTCCCAATGCAGTCACAGCTGAGCCCCAGGGAAGGCCACAAGCTGCATGGTCACAGCCCACCAGCTGCTCTGCTGGGCACACACCTGAGAACAGAACAAAACCTCAGTGCTGCTCCAGCCCCCACGTGGGGACAGAGGGCTGTGATGGCAGATGTCAAATACACCCTGCTCCTATCAGAGCCCCCCCATTAATCACCATCCCGGAGGCAGGAATAAAAGCTCTCTGCTCACCCATTACTGTGTCCTTCAGACAAGGACTAACCAGGAAGGGCAAGTATATTTAAATCAATGCCCTACATGTAACTTCACAGCAACCATGCTGACAAGGGACACCATCCATTAGATTAATAATTATTTCTTTTCACAGCTAGTACTCTAACAGATTTCCTTTGTAGTTTCAATGTAAAGTTATTCCTTTTTGTTTGTCATTTAGAAAAGCTGATTTTTTTTCCCCCAAACAAACATAGATGTGAGTTACTAGAATTTCACAGCCACGTTTGTCTAAAACCAAAGTGCTAGGTTAATCTTTCTTTTGAACAAACTATTTAATGAGATACTAAAAATCTCCACCCACTGGCAAACAACATTCCTAATTGTTGGTATTTATATCTTACAATTCACTTCCCTCCTGACTGGTCACCTGTAGGGCAGTGACTGCCAACAGCTCCACTGACTCCTGCCAATAGCAACAGAGACAGATGAATATGTCAGAACTACCAAGCAATGAAAAAAAACAAGCTGATTTGAAAAACTGTTAACCCCAAAATATATGAATATAAACCTGCCAAGGACATATTCAGACTAGAAATCCAAAGATGCTGTTTTCCTACTGTCAGTGGAGTGAAGTGCTGCAAGCCTTCAACATAGGAAGAAACAAATTAACTGGCTTTGAGATGGGGCTTGATACATTTACGAAAAGGACTACATATGATATAACTGCCTGCTAGCAGTAGGCGACTGCAAACAGCAGCTCTAGTTCTCTCTTCTTCATTCAACAACATGCCCCTAGTATGAGATCAAACTCCCCTCGGTGGTTAAGTAGATCGAATCGAGCACCATAACCCCATAAATCAAGTCACACATGTGGCCAGTCCTACAGAAAGATAGGGATATTGAAAGAATAGGGATATTGATTTAAAGCCCAGCAATCTTCCCAGCTGCCTTTCCAAGGCCTGTACCTCGTTTTGGGACTTTTTTGAATTTCTCCTGCTTCCACAGCTGCTGGATGCTGGGGATGCTTCTCAGCACCTCTTGGTTCCTTCCTCTTGTGAGAAACACAGAACAGACACTTCCCAGACCCTCCTAGACTTTCACATGGTGCTGCTGCTGCAGAGCAGTGGACTGGACACAAATCTGGAATCTTTACAAGCCCTGACAGCTCCCTGTGTTGTCAGGCACAAGCAGCCTGCAAAGAACAAGGGAAAACCTGGAGAACGAACCTGCAGCTGGGCCTATCCTCTTCCTGCAGGCACATGGTGTCCTCCCCACGCCCGTGGTGTGCTGCAGCACCCTACACGGGTGGGACATAAACTGCTCTTCCATACAGCATCCTTGGATACCTGAGACACCCTGTTCAGATGCTGCCTTTTCAGAGCAGGAAAGAGTGTTGCCCCAACAGCTTTGGTGAGCACAGAGAACAGCTCAGAGCTCACAGAGTCTCACAGCTTCAGGAGACCCCGTGCCAATTCCTGCCACCACTTTACACCTGGAGGATGTGACACATGGCCCTCCTGTCAAAATTTCCATTAATCTATTAATGACACCACCACTGACAAAAGCAACATCATCAAGCCTATACTGTTAGCTCAGGTGAACAAATCAAGACTCAATGAGGAAGACTGTTAAGAGAATAAATTTTTTAAGCTTATTTTTATACGAAAAATTTAAGAAAAGGCTCCCATGAATTTCTGATATAGAATACGCAAATGTAAACCAGATTTAGTACCCTGGAGCAAAGGTACCAAGGGAAACCCACTTGGGGAACTGCTTTCTATCAGCCAAGCTACTGCAACCCTTCTCCTAGCAAGGTAAGACCGATCCCTATCAAAAATGATCTCTTTTGTTACAGAATTTATACTTGTTCCCATCTAGCCTGGTTCTCTGGTGCAACTGAGCTCTCCGAGGCTGGAAGACAGTTCCCACCCTCTCAGCTCTCTTCCTGAGGTAATTTCCTTGGGACAAAGACAATGTTCCACAGGGAGATATGTCTGGGGGTGAAAGGTTGCCTCCTGAAAAGTGGAGATTTCAATTTCATGCTATGCAAAATAAGTAAATAAAAATACAAATGGCCTCTGGGCTTGTGCTTTATTTTTGTTTGGTTTGTTTTGTTTGGCAGGGTTTTTTAATGGAGAAAGGCTTATGAACACTCTGCTGATGGATATTTTGGGTGACACAGGAGGCATGGGCAGTTCACCAGACGAGCAGTGCTTTTGCTATACACGGCTGCTGCAAAAGGACAGACATTTCTGTACTAATGGACACTATAAATAGCAGATCCAATGGGTAAGTCAAATCCTCACAGGGCAGCTATTGAGACTTTTCAGTTTCCTCATGGTTCAGTTAAAGTTCAAGGAAGCCTAATGATACAGAACGAAAAAAAAAAAAAAGAAAAAGAAAAAAAGAAAAAGGAGACTTAGCCAGCCTGGATGCCAGGCAAATTCTTCACTGCCTAAAAGCTCTGGATTCATTAGACATAGTTTTGCTTGTAGATATTTTGTTTCACTCTTTCCCTTTTTCCCCTTTTCCTTCTTTTTCCCTCTTTCCCTGTGATTCTACTTTGTGCAACAAAAATGGCACTAACATATTAAAAGTAACATCAAATAGATGTATTTCTTAAAGGCACAAGAACCTTGGCCTCACGTTATACTCCAGCAGAACGAGGAATAGCAACATGCCTTTCCTTTGCATTTTGCAGAGAGTAAAATGCCGCTCCTTTTTAGCAAGATGTCATCTTCTTGTGATACAGGACACAGAGAGAGCTTCAAAGTTTGATTTCAAGGAATGCAGTACCCAAAAGTACAGGCAGTCCTTGGATGTGATGTCCATAATGGAGAGGAGATATTGTGGAAGACCCTCAGCATGAGCTCTTCAAAGCCCCTTGACAAGGTGAGGCCAGAAGCTGGCACAGAGGGACAGTGCTTCTGCTGCTCCCTTGAAGGTTGTCACTTCAGACCAAGCTCCGACAGGGCTGTCGGGTCAGCTCTGCCCAGCTGCTGCCAGTGCCATGACTGCTCCCTGGCAGGAACAGAGGACTCTGCCCTGCTGGGAGGGCAGGCACCTGTCTGGGGCACTACACTAATTTAAAACCAAAGTTAAACTCAAACAAGTAAGCACTCTGTGCTCCCGGTTTTGGAAGTAGGTCCAATTCTTCTATAAACCCCAGCCCCCAAAACACTGAATCAGGAGCTCTGGAATCTCCCTGCCCCACAGGTAACTTGGGGACATAAACTCTTTCAGAGCATTGGGATGCACAGGGCATGCTGAACCAGGTGCTGATGGTATGGGGAGCTGCAGCCTTTCCTCTTGGCTGTGTTTAGAAGACCTGCTGCATCCAAAGGCTGCTCCCCTCCTCACAAGCAAACTCGAGTTGCCCAATCCTCACCCCAGCCGCTCTGGTATGGACATTTAAACTGCAGTTGCATCATACAGGCACTCCCTCCAGACACCTGAGCCCCCCCTTACTGACAGAAACTCAAGCAGGGGCAGTTAAATGGGGTTACGTGCCAAAGCATGGCTAGAGCAGAG